GCTGCTAGAAGAGCAGCTGAGCCATCCCTTCTGTGCATGCAGAAACCACTGCAGTCACCCTCGAATGAGAGCTGGAGGGGTGGACACGAAGGTAAAACACAAGATAGAAAGTGACTTGTTTAAACAGTGAAAACTAATAAAATCATTTAAAAACTGTAACTGCAGAGGACACTCACCATCTACTGCTAGATTAGGAGCTTGCCCTCTGCTTGCAGAGAGTGGAGAGGTTGTTTCTAATGTCGAAATTCTTAATTCCTGTCTGGACGGTACACTCTGCACAGAGTTGTGTCAGCAAGCCACCTGTTAAATATATGCCATGAAATTTCCTTGGTACGTAATGTGTGTCATTGTAGTAATACCTCTCTGTGAGTGAATAGGTACACTCTAAATACATCATTTACTTGCTAGGATTTCATCTTGGCAGCGCTTATTCAGAGGTGCTTCCATTCAGGGAAGCTAAAAATGTAGCTGTAATTTCTCCCTAACTCCAGCGTGACAGCCTCTTTCCTTCTTCTTTCAAGCATTACTTTCAGTGGGCTAATTATGTTATGAAGTGTGATATAGGCCCTGGAGACCAGCACCTAAATGGTTGTAGGAAGAGGTAAGATGAAGAAAACTCAAGCTGATCCATCCCTTGTACTTGCCTCCATTTCTGTTTCAAATCCTGCTCTTTTTCTAACAGGTGTATTTATTCCTGTTAGGGAGATTACATCCTTCGTAAAGGATCATTGTTTATAATAGCGTATTGGAATTAACCATTCATACAGTAAAAGCATGATTCAGATTTCCACCATTCATAGTGTTTGACAGACTAGTAACAGTTATTGCTTCCTTTCCCAAAATAATCCTCCTCTTTTACTCTGCTTCCTTCTCACCACCTGCTCACACTAAATGAGAGTTGTTAAGGAGAATATGTAGTGAAAGTTTTGATTCTGGCATCTGGGTGCATCTTTGTGGCATTAATAAGAGATTTTTTGCCTGCATATGTGAAAATATCAGGAGGGATTGAAAGTGAGGAAATGGTTTGGGGTTTGTTTTTGGTTTTTTTAGTTTATTTTTAAATTATTACGAAAGAGCATCATCAGGGAGAGCGTTTTTTGAGATTCTCTGATGCTTAGAAAGGCTAGTGTTGATGCATATAGATTTTCTTTTTATATTTGGACATGAACTCATCTGAGAAGAAAATGAAGACTTTCACTTGTTGAAACAAGTTAACCCTGTTTTTTCTCAGTCGCATCTGTGACTGCTGAATATGAAGGCTCTTGAGAAAACATTGCTGGAAGCATATAGCATCATCTGACCATAGCAGGTCAGAGATGAAGATGCTCTTTGCAAATTTTTGTTTTGTCTTCACCTTGAGTCGTTAGCATTGAGAAATTTTGTTTTGTATCCAGTCACTTGGTCTAATCAACGGGAAAACATAGTTTGTGCCCTCTACCCACACTAAATGCTAGCGTGCTTGCTGGTTGTTGCCTTCACTGATATAATTTTCTAAACATCATTAACATGGCACATAGATGGGGAGCTCTGGTGGAATGGTTCTGCAATACAAACAAGCAGCCAGAGGTGAGAGGAGATGAGGCAGGGACTCCTTAAACTACCTTTGTTGCTGACAAAAGTGTCTGGAAACACACAATTAAAGCTGGTTCCCCCCCCCCGCTTTTTTTTTTTTTTTCCCTCCTGAAAATATACTCCAGTTTCTTGGCTAGAGAGAGAATGTCCACCAAGGTTGAGGACAATCTGGGTAAGCAAGCCTTA